AGGTGAATACATAATGGCTGACCACCTCATAGATCCCCCATACACTCTCAGAGTTAACACAAGCACTGTCAGCAACTCTGTCCTTAAAACATACTCGTGGAGAGAAACCAAGGAAAGCAGTAGCGTTTTCAAAAGTGGAACAAATAAGTAGTAGTGTAGAATCCTAAATATCACCCTCAAAACCTTAAATTTCACTCTGAAATTTCATTTACCTTAAAGATGAATTTTATTTATCCTGTGGGTTGGTTGGTCAAATTTAGTTATGAACAGTCACTCAAAGAAATGATTTTGTTCCTGAAAAGTCATATAGATAATAGAGCAAAGATGCAATGAGATTCAGAAACAACCCAGCATCCAATATTTTCCCAGTAGGAAATCATCCTGAGCACCATAAACGTCACTTGACCATGGAACCACATAGACTCAGAGAAAGTAGAGAATTACCTCTGACAAAGAAGAAAGAAAGGAGAAGGAGAATCTCAGGAGGCATCCTTTCATTTCAGACACTTTAATATACCTTGTCTCCACCAGGACAAAGTATCAAGCACACAAAAGCCAATTTGTTTGTTTGTTTTTTAAAGATTTTTTTTTATGCATATAAGAACTGGGGTACAGACCAGAGGTGGGGGGGGTGAGAGGATTCACCAGAGACAGAGTGGGGAACAGAACAGGCAGATCCACCGAAACACGCTGTTGAGAGGAGCAGAGGGCAAGTCAGGAGAGGTCTGCTGTACCATGTGGGTTGCTCCTTGGCCAGGGATCAAACTTGTGCCCCAGAGGCTGCAGATAGCTTCACATTGTTGTGCTTAACTCCTTGCATCACCAGGGAGGCCCATACAAAAGCCAGTTTGCACGCCTCACCTGTTCTAGCTTTAAATTTTCCAATTTCAGATCATTGCCTGGGACTAGTGCTTGATCATTCTTAAACTGCTGCTGCTGCTGCTGCTGCTACTGCTTTTGCAGCTGCTCCTTGCTCACTCCATGACTTTCAAATTCAGCAGCTGTCTTTGGTGCTTTGATTTCTGAACTTACCTTAGAAGGAGAGCTCAAGGACCTCCCAGCCAGAGCAACACCACTTTTTTCCTCCCTCTCTCTCCATCAGGGTTCATGCACTGAGAAGGGATGTTCCTAAAACTTACACAAGGACTTGAAGATAAAACTGAAACAAGGCAAAGTTTTCTCCAGATCCCTACTTCTTCCTTCCTCCCCTCAAGGTAGACACACCTAAAGGAAAAAAGAAGTCTAGCCTGTTATCAACCTTTTCTACTGTCTGGGGGAAAAAGAAAGTTCTCTCTAGTCGACTAGTGTTTTGCAACACTAGGAGTTTTAAGGTTCAAATCACTACATTTTTATTTACATACTTTTATTTACAGTCTTGAGCCTATAAGGAAAAGAGAAATAGAAAGTAACTAAGTAAATGAAAAAAACTTTTTAACTTACATTCTATCTTCACCTGTTACTGTCATTACTTCCACCACCAACCTTAACAGCAACCGACCAAAGACAAAAGCTGTTTTTTTTAATCCTATATTGTAAGATCTTACAATATTACAATATTACTTGAAAGGATCTTACTTGAAAATGATAATTATTAATATTACAAGGATTAATATTAATATTAATATTGTAAGGATCAATATTACAATATTACTTGAAAGGATCTTACTTGAAAATGGTAAGTATGTAAAAAATCCAGAGATAACCTAATCTTCACAAGTTATTTTCAATAGTCATTCACTTCTGTATGTTTTAAAGCTCTTGTTGAAAGCATCGAAATTCTTACTTCTTTTAAATGAATTAGGAACATCTAAGGTTGTGTTTTGTTAAGATCAACACATCACGTTATTTTGCTCAATTTCATCTGCCTGTGAAAAAAAGAGGTCAAGGATGATGTAGATACCTCAAAAAAAGTAAGCAGACTTACTTGTTTATTTTAGCTTATAGAGAAAATATCGGCAAAAATTGTCCATTTTTCAGGCCTCCCCGGTGGCGCAGCAGTTGAGCACTGGGTTGCGAAGCTGCCCGCAGCCTCTGCAGCCACAGTTCGATCCCCGGCTGCTCCCCTGCCACTGGAGGAGGGTCCCACATGGCGCGCAGACCTCTCCTGCCGCCCGCTGCTCCCCTCAGCAGTGTACTTCGGTCCTTCTGCCTGCTCTGCTCCCCGCTCTGGCTCTAGTGAATTCTCTCACCCTCCCGTGCTTCTGGCTGTACCCAGTGCTTCTTATAAATAAATAAATAAATCTTTTAAAAATTGTCCATTTTTCAATGATTACATAAACACAAGTTTATTTAGAATGTTCAGGAAAAAAAATCTCCTTTCATCTTTCATCTCTTTCATTATACCAGAGAGCACAGGTTACTAAGAATCTCAAAAGAGTATAGAAATAAGTTAAAAAATCAGATTCCTGTCTACACAATGCCAAACATCTAGTAAATCTGGTTAAAAAAATGTCTACCCAGATGTTTGGCACTGCATAGACGAAACATCCAGATAACTGGCTGAACTTGTGAATAAACTGCTGAAATGGACCAGATGTTCTGGTTTCTTAGAGCTTCAGGGCCCAGGGGCCCTTGGGGACACAGGAAAAGCCAATGTCCCCACTGGACCTTCACCACCTGCCTGCCTTCCCTGGAAACTGCAGTGGGTGTGTAACAGCGGGGTTTAAATTAAAATTGTCGACGGCCGCCTTAGAAAAATCAAGAGAAAAGAACAAGAAGAACGTAATGTGATATTTATCTGAAATCCGTGTTTTGGGAAGTCACTGAGTCACATCTATCTTGAGGCATTGTGGTTGCATTTCTAAATATTCTCCCCCTTGAGACTTTCTCTTTCAACCCAAGCTCCAGGCTACCCTTTCCCAGCCCAGGGTGCAGTGGTTTTTTACAATAGTTAAAGCTGAAAGCTAGAACATTCTCCTTCCCCACCCCTTTGCCTCTTTCTTGCTCCTTTCATACCTACCCTCAAGGTCTTGCCTTTGCTAAAGGTGTGCAAAGTGAGTAAGAATCACATCAGGGATTCTTCGAGGGCAGCCCAGGCAGTGAGTAGCCCTGGCAGAAGGGTGGAGCCCTGGAACTGGCGGGGTGATCAGAGAAGGTACAGGGGTGCAGGAAGGGTCTGAGAAGCCTGCTGAGGGACACTGCCCCCAAGGAGGAGCCTGCTGGGGGATGTGAAGGGGGCTGCCAGTCCGCAGAAACCCCAACAGCACTTAAGAGACACTCTCTGACAGGGTGGGACAGAGCTACAGAACCTGGAGTTCCCTCCAGCAAATTCGTCTAAAATGGTGCCTTGCAGGAAACTGAGGGCAGCAGGAAGGGAAGACTCAAAAACACCATGTGATTACTAGGCTCCCAACTGTATTTAGAAAACAGCTTTGGCTTCCGTCAGAAAGTTCAGATGTGCATTTAATCTGTTATATAATTTTTGTTTTCAGAGATGGGTTTGTTTTGTTTCTTTTTTAAAAAAGTCATTAAAAGATTTCCTTCATGTCAGTATTTTCTGGGGCCTTCCCGGGACACTTTCTAAAAAAGAAAAGGCCGTGACAGCTTTCTTGCCTCCCTCCAGAGAGATTTATTAAAACAACCTTCCAACTGCCACTGGAGGAGGAATTACTGCATCTCTCATCAGGATACAATTAATAGAGCAAGCGAAGTGATGTGGGAAAGAAAATAGGAGAAGAAATCATTCTCAGCTTCCCTCTTGAAGGCGGCCCTCCATTCTGCGGGACTGAAGGAAATCAGAATACCACAGCCGAAAACTCAAAGAGTGTCAGCTACACTCCTACCCCAGCCCAAGACATGCAGGACACACCCCACTTTCACTAATACCAAAAATGGCAGAGACAGACAGGAACATTTAAATACAAAAATAAAAAGTATTATTTTCCTCTCTTTGGATTAAAAAAAATTCCTTTCTCCCATTTCTATCCTCTCCTCCTGCCCCCCGCCCATCCTGCCTTGCTTTCCCCTCCCCTTACCCCCTCCTTTTCAGGATTGGCTTTATTTAAAAAACTATATTTCTGCCCAGGCATTCAAAAATGCTGAGTGCCTCAAGCAAAGTAGTAGAATAAGCATGTTTCTTACTGCTTCTTGGCAACTCTGCGGCCCAAGACCTGCTTCCAATTAGAGATCATGTGGCTTCAGTTTAGTATTATCATGAAAATGAAATTACCACTTTAGAAAAGTCAAGTTATTTTGGAAGTGAAAACTGCAGGTCAGAGCCCACCAAAATTCCAAAAAATTTGCTCAAGAAACATCTTGTTGAAGGGTCAAAATGGCCCGGCTGATAAACATCCTGGGGTTGTGATCTGCACCACTCCGCTGGCAGACCTCCCCAGGCCTCGCTGGGAAGGTCAGGCCGTTGTCCTTCGAGAGATGACATCCTTCTGACAGCAGCTCCAAGCCCACGCTGCTTGCCGGGAAACAGCAGAGCTTCCCCATCCTGTCATGTGCCCCCCACCAACCTCAGCCACTCACCTGGTGGGAGTCTACCTGAGCTAGCCCCTCCTCCCTATGGTTTCTACCTTCCCTCCCCAGCAAGAGTGTAAATTCCTGAGAGCAAAGGCCTTGTCTTTAGTGCATAAAGAAGTCATAGCTTCATAAATCCTGAGAACAGGAAGGGACGTGGTCCAATTGCTTAATTTTAAAGATAAGGCTTGTTAACTAGTTTCTGGCTGATAGTCTATGAGCACTCAGACCTCTGGTCACATCAAGGTCAACCCCAAAACCACGTGTCTTACCAACAGGAGGCCCTTCAAAAGTGTTACAGGCCAGATTGGGGAAAGCATGTGTACCAGCACAGTGTTTACAAGGACTGGGTTCAAATCCTGGGGCCATCACTAACTAACTCTGTGACTTACGAGACGTTTCTTTGCTTTGTTGAAACTTTATTTATTCATCTGTAAAACTGGAAAAATATAAATACCTTATTGATTGGTAGAGGATTATATAAGATAATGCATGTAAAGTATTTAGTCCATGTGCAAGTGGTTAGCAAGCGCTCAATAAATGGATATTGTTTTATTATCATTATTATTTGGCATGTGTTTGATGGAACCCAAACAGAGGGTTTCTTTTATAGAAAGCGCCACAGTTTGTCATATGAAAACATGGGTTTATTTGGAGGAAATGGCCTGTATCAGCTTTCTGGAACCATCTCTGTTATTATGAAATTCCGGGAACTGGAATAAAATAACAAGGGGGTGGGAGAGAGGGTGAATGGTTTCTTCAAAAAGCAACTTAAATGAACTAGTCAGCAAATCAACAATTTACTGAGCACACTTTGTGTATCAGGCACTGTGTCTGGTGCTATAGAAAATTAGGAAATGTTAAAGGTGATAGCTGTCTTCATTCACAATCTAGTTGGAGATACAGAATACTTGGGAAGAAAGGTACAATTTCAGCTGTGTGCAGTAAGTCTCATGGGGTCTCTCAACAAGTACTACAGCAGTTCAGAAGAAATAGCAACGGATTCCAGGCATAATCTCTGTCACAGAGAAGGTGGAACTTAAGGTAGCTTTGGAGGACTGGGAAGACTAGACTAAGTGCAGATAAGGAAGCATCTCACGCTGAGGGAAGAGTGTGCAAAGGCCCAGATGTAGGAATTTCAAGGTTTGTTTAACGAGAGCAAGACCAGATTGACTAAAATAAAGGGTGTATCTCTAGAGGTTTAGGGAACATAAGATTAGAGGAGTTGCTTGGAAAAGAGCCTTGAATGCTTCGTCAACTACAGGGTCTCAGGTCTCAGGGTTTGGAGGAACATGGTGCCCCTTTGCGTTGTGCAGTGTACAACCTAAACAATTGTACTTAGCACATGGCTAACTCTTTGGACTTTATCTTGTAGGTAGTGCACCAAAGGTTTCCGAGTAAGCTCTTTGGATCTGATTTTTATATATGTTGTTGTGGACAATGCACTCAATTTATTTTATTTATTTATTTTTTTTAAAGATTTATTTTTATTTATTTATACAAGCACTGGGTACAGTCAGAAGCGCGGGAGGGTGAGAGAATTCACCAGAGCCAGAGCGGGGAGCAGAGCAGGCAGAAGGACCGAAGTACACTGCTGAGGGGAGCAGCTGGCGGCAGGAAAGGTCTGCGCGCCATGTGGGACCCTCCTCCAGTGGCCGGGGAGCAGCCGGGGATCGAACCGGCGCTGCAGAAGCTGCGGGCAGCTTCGCAACCCAGCGCTCAACCGCTGCGCCACCGGGGAGGCCCGACAATGCACTCAATTTACAAGAGTTCTAGAAATGGACAGCAAGTCAACGAAATAATTGTCCGCCAATTTGGGCATGGAGAAGAAGAGAAATGGTGGTGCTTTAAAGCCCTGACTCGGACCTCCCCGGTGGAGTAGCGGGCTGAGCACTGTGCTGTGAAGCTGTCCACAGCCTCTGCAGCACGGGTTCGATTCCCAGCTGGCCAGGGAGAAACCCATATGGTGTGGCAGACCTTTCCTGCCTCACCCGCTGCTCCTCTCAGAGGTGTCTTCCGTCTGTTCTGTTCTGCTCCCCACTCTGTCTCTGGTGAATTCTCTCACCCTCCCGCGCCTCTGACTGTACCCCAGTTCTTGTATAAATAAATCTTTAAAAAAAATAATAAATCCCTGACTCGACATTTACTATCTTAGAACAATTCAAGTTTAAGGAATCCTGGCTCGAGTTATTAGCATTTCTGAGCTGACTGAGGAGGTGGGGTGTGGGGGTGGAAATCTCCGAATAAAACATCACAGTTGTCTAACCATCATTGTGGACTAGCCTAAAGTTCTCCTTATTTAATACTGTCTGAAGGAGTTTCAGGGAGGAAGGACAGATAGAGAAAGAGAAAAGGCAGCATGGTACTATCTAAACCTCTTCAGACAGGCAGGAAATGAAGGAGCAGGTGGAAGAAAAGATTAGGGCATGATTACTCCATTTTCCCTTTTGCTGTCTTTGAGAACAATTGTTCTGTGGCCTATGCTAAAAATAGAGACAAATCTGTGATGGAGCCAAGAAAAACTCCCCTGGATGTAGCACCACACTGTGTCTAACATGAGGTGGGGGGCAAAGAGAGGGTGTATTACAAAAAGAAAACAGCTCTGTGTGGTCCTCCCCACATGCATTGGCAGTGGTTGGGTGAGTCTGGTATCACCACTACTTCGAATGCCACTCAGCCCTGAGATTTTAACCCCTCTGTCTTGGGCAGACAACACTGTGGCACCCTGAAGATCCCAGTCACCCCCAGTTCTGGGTTCCAGGTGTCATGGTTCCTCTGGACTCCCAAGGAGGACTGAAATTCAAAGGAAACTAGAAATTTTAGGCAAACCCAAAAGGTGTGGAGCAGATGCTGGGGGTGGGATACCAAAGGGATGAAAACAGATGCTTGGGAGTTTCTGCCATCAACACCTACTTGTAGATTCAAGTTTGAGCCGTCATTTGCAAATGCCGATGTAAAATAATCCATCTTGCATGACCTCAACAGAACATGGCTTGGCTGGCAGGACAAAGCATCCTGAGGAGAGAAGCAGCTTGCCCAGATCTTCACAGAATACTTTAAACATCCTCACTGGTCTAAGGCAGGAGGATCACATAGCAGTCAGGGACCTCATGGCCACCAAACCCCACCACTGGCCAAAGGACAAAGGAGGGGTGGGAAAGAAGAGCATGGTGATGGAGGACGGCTCTTCCACAAACACTTCCCTGGGAAGGTAGAGGGTCCCTGGGTAGGTAGAGGACCTGGGTAGGTAGAGGACCTCCCTCTTTACTTCTGGGGAGGATGGGTCCCCAACAAAGTCCTGCTGACCCCACAGCTCCCCCTCTCCAATCCACTACCTTTCCAGAACAGACCCTTGCTGGATGTGTCTTAGCTTCTCCAGAGGCCCAGCCACAAAACCAGACTGGAAAGGAAAATGGCTCAGAATTGCTGACAGGTAGACCCACGTCTATGGGCTGCAAGCTTGGAGAAATTTGCAAACAAAAACCTTGTCTGCTACCAGAGTGGGGTTCTGGATGGCTGGCATTCCACCCACATGGCCACTGGGGACACTGCATGGATTAGCTGCATTAACCATTTTCTTTCATTTGGTGTGAGTGCTGCTGAGTGAAGGATTGCAGAGCACTGCCAGGGTACCCAGTGCACTGTAAAGTCAGAACCAGGAAAGGAGTATCACGAGACTCCTCACAGTCATTCAACCTGCTCTTCGAAGGCTTCCCACCTCTCTCTCTCTCCAATCTTCTTTCTGTCACTGCCTTTATCTTACACGCACAGATGTGTATGTGTGTATACACATATATAATATTATATAGCATGTGAGCTCTAGCACAACATAATACCATACAATATAATATCCTTGTGTGCCAATACAGAAGTCAGGACCCTTCAGACCAATGTTCTGCAACAGTTAGTTTTACCCACCCAGCATTTTGAAAGTCACTCAGAGAAGCACTGCATAGAGATTCCACCCCTACCTCCATTTTCCTGAAAAATGAGCCTCATTTATTTTCAGTGTTTCCAGTATTCTTCATGGAATTTCTTCATGGAATTTCCATTATTCTTCCAGAATTTCTTTTAATGAGTTCACAAAACCAAAAGCTTCCAGAAGCTTCCACAAATCTCAATCATCAACAAGCTTCCCAAGTTGGACAGAGTTGGTTTCAGATCATAACATGCATCTTGCAGAAGCCAGCTTGAAGATAGCAGAAGGACCTTCTTAAGAGCCCCAGGCCTGTCTGCCTCCCTTTCTTTGTCCCCTCTTCACCTCTTCACCTCTCCTGCTGTTCTGAGTGTTTTCAGAATGCGCTGGTCCTCCCCATAGTTATCCTCAACTCCATATATATCCAGGTGATTGTCAGTAGGAACACACCTCCCCCAGGTGAGTTGCTGATGCCTAATTCTCCTGGTCTTTTATATCACTGGCATTTAGAGATAAAAAGTTTAATAAAAGTGCTCAAGTGTCGTGGGCATTCAAGTCACCCATTCAGACCACAAAAGCCTAATTCGCCACTCACTCAAGTACCACCCCCCTGCCCTAATGCTCCTTCCACTCCTGGCGAACTTGATGGTACCTAGACCCACATCAAATTTCCTCAGAAGATCTCCTTGTATTTATCTAGTGTTTATTGAACATGTGCTATGTGCCAGGCCTGGTAGTTCTTGGCTTGAGAATAAGGCAGTAATCAAAACTGCTTAAGTCCTTGCCCTCGTGGATCTTACATTACAATGGAAAGAATAAAAATAAATACTGCATGATGTAACAGGAGCTGATAAGTGGCAAAAGTAAAAACAGAACTGGCTAAGAGGACAACTGACCTGGCTAGATACTGGGTAGCTCTTCAGATGGTAAGGGTTTGGTCAGAGAGCCTCTCTGAAGAGGGACAAGATTGAAGTCCTAGGACAGAGCACATCTGAGAACACAACTCATCCTTTAAAAATCCTCTCCATCTTACACCAGTGAGAATGGCACATATTAAAAAAACTGGCAACAACAAATGTTGGCGAGGGTGTGGAGAAAAAGGAACTCTCCTGCACTGTTGGTGGGAGTGCAAACTGGTCCAACCACTATGGAGAGCTGTGTGGAGATTTCTGGACCTACTAAACATAGAGCTTCCATATGATCCAGCAATTCCACTCCTAGGTATTTACCCAAAGGACACAGAAACATCAATTCCAAAGAACACCTGCACCCCTATGTTTATAGCAGCACTGTTTACAATAGCTAAGCTTTGGAAACAACCCAAATGCCCAAAAATAGATGACTGGATCAAGAAGATGTGGTACATACATACCATGGAATATTACTCAGCATTCAAAAAAGATAAACACATGCAATTTGCAGCAACATGGATGGCGCTGGAAGGGATCATGCTCAGCAAAATAAGCCAGAAAGAAAAAGAAAAATACCGGATGGTCTCACTCATAGCAGGAATCTAGAAAACTTAAATAAGGGACCAGGAAAATGAATAACTATAAGAAAGTGAAAATCAAAATCAACAAAAAACTATGAACCAGAGACACTTTTTGGGGGATGGGGGGGTGGGAGGGGAGGGATTGGGGTCAGAATGGGGGGTTGCAATTGTATGGGGAATATAAAAATAAAATTTATTAATTAAAAAAAAATAAAAATCCTCTCAAGGGCCTCCCCTGGTGGTGCAGTGGTTGAGCGCTGGCCTGTGAAGCTGCCTGCAGCCTCTGCAGTGCCGGTTCAATCCCCGGCCACCGGGCGAGGGTCCCACATGGCACGCAGACCTCTCCTGCCGCCCGCTGCTCCCCTCAGCAGTATATTTCGTCAGTCTGCCTGTTCTGTTCCCTTCTCTGTCTCTGTTGAATTCTCTCACCCTCCAGCGCTACTGACTGTACCCAGTGCTTAAATATATAAATAAATAAATCTTTAAAAAATAAAAAAATAAAAATCCTCCCAATTGTCCATGGCAGTGGAAAGCAGCAATAAAAATGAAAATACCTTCTATTATTGCAGCAGTTGTTATCATGAGCTTTCCAGCCCCTATTTCATTCACTTCTCACAACAACACTTTGAGCTAATTATTCACACTATAAAGATGCTGAAATGGAGGCCCAGAATGAGATTGTGCCTTTCCCAAGGTCACTCAGAGATTGGAAACCAGTTCCCCTTAATTCCCAGCCAGGGGAATATATAATTCCCCACTAGGAGACTAGATCATGGAGGATAATCCTAATATCAGACATATTTTGTCCGAGTCACCAATCAGAGATACGTGCCTCAGAACTTAAAGAAGTCTGCTCATATGTGTGTGTGTGTGTATGTGTCTGTCTGTCTCACTGTCTGTCTGTGTGTTTTCTGGATTCCTTTCAGTTTGACTTAAAACATAGCCGGCCAGATTGCTACAGATGGGCAAATGAGTTACTGACTTACAGAGTATCCCATTCTTGGAAAAATAGATGTGGACTGAATTCAATCAAAATACAACAGAAGGAGATGATGAACAGAAGGCACATACTATGTCCACTATTTTCACTGTAACTGCTCTCTCTATATAAGTGCATTCATTCATCTATGCATGTTAATAAATTGATTCTTTCTGAATTCTTGACACATAGATCTCAACTTCTCCCACACAGAATAGACTGCAAGAGCAAAACCGTACATCTTATGTGCCTTTGGACAAATCTTTTTAGTCTCTGGCCTCAGTTTCTTCTGTTAAATAGGCGTTTTGAATGAGAACAGCTCTAAAAGTTTCTTTCCCATTCTGGCATCCTACAATTTCTACACCAACATAAAGATTTTTACGAAAAGTTAAATCTTACTTTTATTTTTTAGAGTCTGTAAGCAAGTCCTTTGATGCTATACCACGTCTTATCTGGCTGGAGCCTTTCAGTAATACCTATTACCTTCTTGATTACTTCCCTGTTACCTTTGTTGAGAACATTTTCCCAGCAAAGATGCTCCTTCCAAGCTAAAAAGTCTTCCCAAGTTTTCTGAAGTGAGATACAGTGTGTTCATGTTTTTAAAAATCAGTGTCAGTTGCAGACTAAAAGACTGAGGCAGCACAAAGCCATTGAGAATGATGATGGGAATAAATTGGAGAAATAGGAAAGAGGCAGAAAACAGGAAGAAGAAGAAAAAGGGAGAGAAGCTGAAGAAAGGAACAGAAGTGGTGGGTGGTGGGTGAGGAGTGGTGGGGAAGGGGCGGGATATATCCTAGAAATGTATTTCCAGAGCTTTGTGATGTTTCTTGTATATGACATACAGGTTGCATTAATAAGAGTGTGTGTGTGTATGTGTGTGTGTGCACACACACGTACAAGCCTGTATCCTGAAACATGTATTAATCATGCTGGTGACGAGCAGATGAAATCAATGATTCCCCAAACTTCCTCTAAAATCAGCTGCAGAGACCACGTACGTGATGTTTCCTCAAACTGACACCAACTTGTTCATCCTTCACGTGCCGGTGTCCAGGATTCTTTATGCTTGTGAATACCTCTTATTCTGAGATGCACCCCTAAATTCTTTTTTCCTTTCCAACCTCAGCATTGCTTTCTGATTCTCACCTGGAAGAGGCAGATTTCTACCATCTCCTTAGGCAGCTTCAGCGAGACAAAGCTTTACTCCTCAGCTTTCATTCTTTATCTTTGTCATTTGGATCTTTTATTCCACTTTCTACTTTCAGGTCCTTCCATTTATTTTTCACACTCACCGACACCTAAAGCATCCCTGTCTACAGAAATAATCTTCCAAGTAGGTGTGTGCACACCCACAGGCACCAAGACTTTCCAGAGGAATACACAGGCAGAAGTGATTTAAGAGAGTCAGTTTCCAGGTCCTCCACATCCATCAGTGCTCTTGAAACCAGCACCTCCAGTCTTCCATGTCTGCTCTGGACTTTCTCTTTCACAGTCCCCACTGCGCTACTTGACAAAATATGGCATCTTTCTTGCCCATCCAAATCTTGTTTGGGGGCATTAATCTTGGAGACTAAAAGCCTCTGAGACACCAAACAAGAGGACAATTAAATAATGCATTGTGCCTGGGAGAATTCTTAGATAGCCAACCAATGAGGTCTTTAGGAAGAATCATTAAACGTTCACAACCTTCCAGGTTGTGCCATTAATTTAATCCAGAAAACTGATAAATCACAGGACTTTTAGTGGTGTGACCACCAGTTGTGAATTTGAGATGAGCAGTTTTCATAGGAACACATCAATAAGCACATTTGACTTGAAAATTTAAGATAGTTTTTTTTTTCTAATCAAAACAAGGCTGATTTGACTGATCTATTTGAACCTATGAACCTCCACGTGTTCCAAGGGGGTATTTTTGATTAGACATCTTCACAAACTGAGTGAGTTGTAAAGTTATGACATATATATAGGTATACTTATATGCATAATACCAGTGGGGTAATACCCAGGCAAAGGGTTCTGGGTTCCAGGTTCCCTGCCCCACCCTAAGGGAGGGTGGATCTGAGCAACAAGGAGAAGCTAGAGAGTTGGAGAGAAGGAAGGGAGGAGATCAAGGAGACTTGGAGGATGCACGTGGAGCGGAGAGACATGTGAAGAAGCTGAGTTTGCTTTTGGCCTCAGACTTCTACTAGAGATCTGGGGGACATGGAGGGAGACACTTGAAAGAGACAGGGAGGTGAGAGAGAGACCTGTGGGGAGGCTGACAATGGCAGCCTTTATCTTGACTTGGGTTTTGATTTGCTTTTTTTCCTTCCAAGCTTGTTTGGCCCTTCTGCCCCTTTCCTGTGGGTCTGACCAGAAGGTGCCTTAGACTTTTGGCAAACTTTGGGGGCTCAGCTTCCCTGCTTTGGGCCAACACTGTTTGGCTGGGCATTGACCTGTGAAGGGATGGGTGACTTTGGGTGTTTAATTGGAAACTCTTTAAATGACATTTTTTCTCTTTTCTCTCTATTGCACACTAATTGAATTAAAATCCCTTTCCATTGAGTGTCTTATGCATTAGAGTATGTTTTGTCTTGATGTGGCAGATGACAGAACCTATTTAGAGCAGGCAGGTTTTGGGGTTCCAGGATGTCCCTTATCTTGCCCTGTAACAAAATCATATATATATATATGTGTGTGTGTGTGTATATATATATATATATATATATATATATATATATATATATATATATATAGTCTGCCATAAATTGCAACATCTGCAACTATCAAACTTATCATTATATTTTTTAGGTGTTGCCACAGATTGTATTTTTGTTTCCAAGTATTTGCTGCCCCACTATTATAAGAGGAAAACATTTGGGTCAGACTTGCCACCTGACCTGCTTTGGTTCATGGAGTGCGAGCAAAGGTGACAGGTGCCACAGCTCTTTTAACCCCTGCCACAAACATGGCATGTACCCAACAGCAGGTGCCACTTTCACTCGGACCCTGGGGAGAATGAGCTAATTGACACAGAATCATCAACAATGTCCTGTCAGAGTATCAGATAAGCAAGAAATAAGACTTTGCTATTATAAGTCACTAATATTTGGTATATGTTTAATACAGCAGAATAGCCTAATGAAATTCTACTCATATAGATAGCCTCTCAAGAACATCTGCAAAGGTAAGCAACTTTTCAAATTTTACTTAGGAGCTATGAGAACAGACCTCTACTTTAGATTAATGATGATTTCTTACGAAATAAGCCCTCTTTCATACATTCTTCATGCTTATTAATAGAAAGTTAGATATGAAAACTGGAGATTGATAAATGAACTATTACTCCCCCCCAATACCAAAGAAATTGCAGTCTAACACAGAAGAGATGTTCAAGCAAGGTACCCCATCACCTGTTGAGCGTGACCAATAGATTTGGGTCCAGAGAACAGAGATACCACGTGCAAGGGAATGATTACGGATTTTTAAGGTAGAAGTCACTGAAGAAGAATTACTGAAAAAAATGAAGTATGAGGTGACATTTCAATCAGAAACAAATGCAACCAACTCAAATTGGATTAAAGAACTAGACATTAGACCCGAAACCATAAAATATATAAAAGGAAATACAGGTGAAACACAACATGAAATATACCTCAGTAACATCTTTGAAGACTCATCACCCAAAGCAGTGATAGTGAAGGCAAAGATAAAGAGCTGGGACTACATCAAATTAAAGAGCTTCTATACACTAAAAGAGACAGTAACCAAAACAAACAGACACCCCAACAACTGGGAGAAATTTTTCGCACACAACACTAATGATAAAGGACTGATCACAAAAATCTACAAAGAGGAGGAATTTAGAAAGCCTAAATAAAGGACCAGGAGAAATATTAATTACAATAAAGTAAAAATCAAAATCAACAAGCAACTCTAAGCCAGAGACATACTACGTAGGCGTGGGGGGGGGGAGGGGAAGGGGTAGAAGGGATTATGGTCAAAATAAGGCTGCTGGGAATTGTATGGAGACTATAACCAAGATGAAAAAGCATACATTGTGCAAAAATGAAAAATGATGTAAAAAATAAATAAAAGAAAATATTAAAAAAAGAAACAAATGCATGCTAAATTCCTAGAGATGTGAACAAGTACCTGGTATATTTACTAAAGTAGAAATATCTGGTACTATATCTGGTACTTTTCAGAAGCATATATATAGAGAAATAGCCTGGGACTGACAAAGCCCACTCCCTGGTATTCACACTCTTGTATAATGCTCTCCCTTTGGGAGTAGAAAGCTGGTGTGACTTACTTCTATCCAATAAAATATGGCAAGAGTGATGTTAATGATTCCATTCCACTCCATAACACTCTTAGAAGACTTTCCCTGGAGTCTCTCTTTCCCTTGCCAATTGTGAGAAAGAAAATTCCCATGAAATAATTGGAAGCCCATATGTCAATAAACTATCAGAAGCTTCTAGACATAAGAATCTATTTAGTATTCTGCAACCATAAGAGAATCAATTCTGCTGTCAACCAGAGTGAGCTCAGAGGTGAAGCCTTCATAGTTGAGCCACAGATAAGACCACTGCCATAGCTCATTGCATGATTGTAACTTGGTTGAAACTCTGAAACCGAGAACCTAGTCATGCCCAGACACATAGAAACTGTGAGATAACAAACGTTGAGTGTTTCAATTAGCTAAGTTCACAGTACTTTCTTACACAGCAACAGATAACTGAAACAGCTAGGGATGCAGGAAGGAGCTATTCTAAGGGTTCAGATTTCAGTGTGTGGCCAATGAGGATGAGGGTGATGACTCTGAGAAGGGAAATGAGGCAGAGGTGAGTTTTAGGATGATTGCTCTGACAACAGTGTGGAAGATGGACTTTAAGAGACATGGACATCATCTTCCACTAAGCCAGGCATACAAATGAGCATGTGACCTCAGACCAAGAAAGATGAAGAAACATGTATCTCTTTAATATCTGCATGATGTTGTATCGTGAAGAGGACTGTAGAAAAGGTCACAAAACATGGTTCTCCCTCTCTTAAAAAATTCATGTCAAATTAGGAAACAAAGAGATGTGCAGGCAAAGATTTGTTTGCTTTGTTTCATTTTGTCTCATTAACTAACAATAATTCATAAGTGGATTCTACTTGAGAGGACATGTATGTCAAAGGCTCTTCCCACAGGAGTGATCAGTAAGGATGAAGGGTGATTCTGAGGTCCTTCTTAAATGAGAGGTTTTGGTAGGATTTGGACATAAAAGAGTATATTAATGGCCTGCAGACAAGTTCTTGGTAAAAGAAAATGCAAGTGGGTTTAGAGAGGAAGCCTAGACCTGGGACTTGTGGAAAGGACTTTAGGGGAGAGGTTAAAGTTAGAGATTGGGAGTTGACTTTCCCGCTCTTGTTTGCCTATAGAGCTGACAACATTTTGTAACATAATGAAGGGCCAATCAAGCAGGCTTTATGGAAGAGATGAGTCACGAGCAGGTGCTGAAGGAGATGGGAACAGGGACACCCTTCCTTTGAGGAGCAGGGAATTTCCAGAGGTCTGACAATGGAGCAGCAGCTCAGGGGACATAAGAGGACCCATCTATTAAGGAGAAGGATCAGAGAATATAAAGAAATAGAGGGAAAGCAGGATGAAAACATGTGGTGAGGGTCAAATTTTTACCTCAAAAGCTCCAAGATCAACCAATATCTTTTTTGAGATCATATATTTTTAGACCAGTCATGACACATCACTTCCTGTATATTGCCTTTGAGAGTTTCTATATTCTTGCTAAGAAAAGCACTATTCTCCCCCATCAAATATAAGCCACTGCAAGATCAGCCTCTGCCTATTTCTCTGGCTTCAATGGATACTGCCAAGATCCCTAGCACTCTGGGTTCACATCCTCAGAAAATCCAGTTTCTCTTGTCCTTCTCTTGTCTTTACATCAATGGAACAGCAGCCACATCCCAGGCAGGACCTCACTAAACTCTCCTCAGTTTAGTGGACCTCAGTTTGTGGTCCTTCATTGTCATAGGTCTCATGGCACCTGTTTACTTCACAGCACTTACCACTCTTGTCTCTGGAACCTTGGGTAACGTGTTGCTGAGTTTTTATGAATTGAACAGAATGTAGGAGACCCATCTTGTGTTGTTCACACCACATCTCCTAGGCCCAGTGTAGCACCTGGTGTAAAAGCTGGCACTTAAGAAATATTGGCCTACTGAGTGGGTGGATCCACAGATCCATCCTTGGCTGGAGTTTAATTCAGCACAGATGACAAGGACTGAAGCTTGTAAGTTGTACTTCATACCACTCACCCACCTGGCACAGAAGGGCCACCAGACCAGCACACACCATTAACTGACAGTGAGTAAAATGCTTTTGCAGCAATTCTCTAGAATAAATAGGACAAAGGACTTGGCATCACTGTACCCCACGTCATTATCAAAAACTGCAAAATGCTTTATTGGCAAATCCTCACAACGAACTTATAGGTTGTTGGTTTTATTTTTTTAATCACCATTGATAGATAAGAAACCAAGAGATTTTGATATGCCTAGGGCCACATGGAAAATTAACAGAAAAACTAAAATTTCACACTCAAACCCAGAGAACACAGGATAGTCACATGTATGTTGAGCAGGCCCTGTACAAATGTGAGCTTTTTGCTTCATCTGGTGATTTTATTCCAGTTGTATGTAGAACCCCCAATCTGGTAGTGGACTTAATGTTCATAATGTAAGAGGTTTTTAGGATTTTCTAGGGTTGATGCCATACTCAATGGCATCAATGCCATACTCAATGGCATGAAGAGAGATAATGAGTTAAGAGGAAATGAATGTCTGAGAAGGGTGACTTTTTTGAGAGATGGAAAAGGGAGAGAGAGAGAAGATAGGACTCAGGCTGGGATACTGAGAACCCCAAGAGACTTCTGTGGGAGAAGTGGGTCAGTGTTTGGTATTCTTATAAACTCAGAAGAAAGGTAGTTTAAAAATGGGGCCACTGAACAGGCCTTGACTGTGGGTGATGGTTTTGAAGTTACTCCAAAGTGATTTAAAAAACAACTAGTGGGCCTCCCCTGGTGGCGCAGCGGTTGAGCGCTGGGCTGTGAAGCTGCCTGCAGCTTCTGCAGTGCCGGTTCGATCCCCGGCCGCTGGGCAAGGGTCCCACATGGAGCGACAGACTTCTCCTGCTGCGCCCACTGCTCCCCTCAGCAGTGTATTTCGTCACTCTGCCTGTTCTGTCCCCCGCTCTGGCTCTAGTGAATTCTCTCTCACACACACCCCCTCCCCTCGTGCTTCTGACTGTACCCAGTGCTCGTATAAACAAATAAACCTTAAAAAAAAAAAAGTTAAAAAAATAAAAACAGCTAGTAAGTCTTCATCTTAATTAAGGTTAAGAAAGGTTCATCCATTGCTCCCCATGATTTACAGAATGGTAACCAGACCTTTTCTGTTGGAAGCACTGTGACTACACATTGTTGAGATATGAGCTGTAGGCCTGAAACATATATAGTACTAAAACCCCCCTCAAAAAAAGCTTTGCGCAGTGGCAGTATCATGGCCAATGAGGTTTATCCGAGGCGCAATTATTGCTAATTGAAAACTTTTCCCGATACCCCGCCCTGACGACTTGAAATATAATCGGCATTGGCAATTTTTGTCAGTCTCTTCAGAGACTAAATAAAAAAAAAAAATTAAAAATTTAAAAAAATAAAAACCAGTGGCTCCTCAATAAAAAGAAAAGAAGGTTAAAAAAAAGTCTTCCCATTTAATTTGTGCCTTGTAATTCAGGAAACACAATCTCAAATAGTTGCTATCAGGTCAGTGATACCTTTGTTTACTCAAATAACTATTTGGGTGTGTCTGAGGAGTGATCATTATTATTTGTCAGAACCTCTTGAGCAAGTGCACAGTTTTAACATGAAGCAACAAAGTTGGAGGCAAAGAGTCTTATCGTTAGGCTTTATTTTATTTTATTTTATTTTATTTTATTTTATTTGTTAATTCAGGGTCATCTAACTCAGGGATGACAACTACTGTCCATGTGCGCTTCCACTCTTCTATCCATGGCAGACATTACTAGTTGATCTGGATGTAATTTCCTACTGATGTCAGATTGCTCAGACTTTCCCACAGTGCCATACCCTGTGAAGCCCATAGGTGACTTGCTTGCAAGATAAAATTGCTATCCCTAAATGCATGGTGGGTACTTATTTAATTTCTATTGAATGATGTATTAATAAATGGATAAACAGGAGATTCAGTGGTGGATCTTTCTAAAGGTAGCAAACTGCACTGCTTGTTCATACCATTGATTATAAGAGAAACCATGTAAGAGTGGGGGTCAGAGCAGATTTTGGCTTTTTTTTAAAAGATTCATTTATTCATGCGTACAAGAACAGGGTACAGTCCAGATGCGTGGGAGAGTGAGAGGATTCACCAGAGACAGAGTGAGGAACAGAACAGGAAGAAGGACCAAAATACACTGCTGAGGGGAGCAGCAGGCAAGGCAAGAGAGGTCTGCCAGCCATGTGGTTTTCTCCCTGGCCAGCAGGGAATCAAACCCGCACTGCAGAGGCTGCGGACAGATTCATAGTGCAGCGCTCAACCCACTGCGCCACCGGGGAGGCCCAGATTTTGGCTTTCTTACTAGAGAAAATCCAGTACATTTGGAGCCTTGAATTAATGGTGACAACTCCATCTCTAAGGAATTGGATATGGGAATAAATGGCTCTGGAACCAACTTGTTGAAATTTTCCAGAAATATGGATCACTATGGTAAAGCCTCATTGATTTGTTGTTTCAATAAATCTTATTTTCATCAGTCAGGATCCCAGCAGGATACGGATGATGAAGGAAACAGATAACGTCAAATGAAGTTGCTTGAGGAGTCTAATTAAGAGACAGAGCAAGGGACAGAGCAGAATGCTGAAATCAAAAGGAGGGGAGTCATTATATCACTGGGCTGGATGGGAATTGTAGCTACAGTGAGGGAATCAGTCAGCTCCAACATTGATGCGCTCTGGTGCCTGCATGGACGGCATCTAAGGAGGAGCCAGAGGGCCAGGGGTCCTGTGCCAGTCAGGGCTTCCCAGAAAAGCAGAACCATATATAGAGAGAGTTTATTTATTTATTTATTTATTTGTTTGTTTGTTTATACAAACACAGACATGTATACACACATACAAGGAGAGATAATATAGAGAGAAAAAATATAGAGACTATGTACATAGAGAGAATATATAGAGACTACGTGTGTATAGAGACTATATTTGTGTATATATATACACATATATGCATATATACACACACATATATATACAGACACATATAGTGAGAGAGAGATCTAGAGACAGGTAAGAGGATATTTGGCTTATGCAATATAGAGGCTGAGAAGCCACACACTATGCCATGTGCAATAATTGGCTTATGCTTTATAGAGGCTGAGAAGCCACACACTATGCCATGTGCAACCAGAAGCACCAGGACAGCTGATAATGTAATGCACTTCCAGACTGAAGTCCTGAGAACTGGGGCATCTTCCTGGTATAAATCCTGGTGTCCAGAGGCATGAAAACCAGGAGTGCTGATGTCTGAGGGCAGAAAAAGATGTATGTCCCATTTCAAAAGAGAGGGAGAGATTTTATCCTCCCATTGGCCTTTTGGTTCCATTTGGTCCCCAGTGAATTGGATCTATCCACACTGCTGAGCCAGATCTCTTTACTCTGTCTCCACATGCTGATGCTAATCTCTCCTAGAAACACAGGCACTCCCAGAAGTAATGCTTGATCAGCTCTCTGGGCACAGTCACACTGACACCCAAGCCTAACCTTCACAGATGCCATTGACACAGTTCATACCAGCCAGCTCTAGAGCATACCACAGGGTGGGAGAGAGTGTGGGGGATCATCTGGAGGGGCGGACAGCGATACCCAGCTAGAAACCAGGAAGCATCATCCATGAGACCTTGTTCTAGATTCTAAGAACTTAACCCTGAGCAAGACAAACAACGCCCTTGGTCACAGGAAGCTGATAGTCTAATGGCGGGAAGAGAACACTGAATTTATAAATATGTTATAACAATTTCACAATTTTAGGAAACCCAAAGCTGATGTATCTTACCAATGTTGTTTCTATTTTTGCTAAATTAAAAGATGAACCATAGCCAGCAGATAACACAAATGCCAAGAGAGAGCGTTCTGTCTAATAGATTGTTTATATTCTTAAGAAAGTAACAAGGCACAACTTCCTATCTTGTCTTTTTATCACATGCCTCCTCCAAAGTCATTCTCTCTTTGAAAGTTTGAGCAAACAGATTTTTGGTTTTGGAATGGGTGTCTTGTTTAATCCTAGTTTCTGCAATCTTGGTAAATCAGGGAGAAAGATATGTCCGGTGGGCAACAGAAGAATGTTTTATTTGCGCAAGAGAAAGAAAATAGATCTATTTCTCTCTGAGTTGCAGGAATAGAGGCTTGACCATACTTTGGTGTTTAACATCCGTTCATCTGAAGAAACTTTTAATTTCCATTCTGTTCTGGATTCTACCCAAGGGAACTATGACATTTCTCTTCACCAATAATATTTTAAAGTCTACTGCCCTTCATGATCTTTCTGAAAGATTATAAAAGGAGACAGGCTTGGGCCAAGGATTCTGAGACTTTCGTTGGGGGGACTCTGAGGGAGGGGTTGGCAAGTGGGAAAGAGGAGATTCTTTTTTTTTTAATTCTAGAGTGTTTTCTTACTAAGACACCAAGTTCTGATCCCAAAATCGACAAGCCATTCCTGAAGTTACGAAAGTGGAGAGAGACTGGCTGAACCTCAGAAGAACTTGCAAGCAAATTCACAATATGATGGGTTCACAATATTAAATTAAGGATTCAGCAATCACGCAAATCTTACAACACATTCCAGAACAATGAAAAGAGAGAGAAATAAAGACCTCCCCCCCAAACCAGCTGAGCCAGTACTTAAAGCCTTTTTAATTTAACAGAACCCATTTTTTTACGGTATCCAGGATATGTTTCTGGCTTTTCAAGCCGTCACATGATCTCTTGTCCAGATGTGAGGGTGTATATCTGTGACTGGACCAGCCAAAAACCACAGCACTTTCCTTCAGCTTGTAGCTTGTTACTGTAACTCAACCGTGCTCCGCTCAGCTCCAGAAGCACCACATTAATGTGTGGTACAACAACAATAACACAGGAGGGGATAAAGTTAACCAAAACATTCACATGGATCTGGAAAAGAGGAGAGGAAGGGGCTGGGGTGGGAGGGGGAGGAGAGCCAACTCAGATAGGTTTATTTGTCAGCTCTACACAACACTGAAAGCGAAACCTCCGAGTGTGTGGTGGTCTGAAAACTTCCCTTTTTCTCACCTACTGTGAACAGCTTTTACCCAAGGACAAGACTTCCTGGAGTTTTCTTCAGGAAATTAGCAAATGCCTCTGTTTGGAACATCAGGTTGCAGGAACCCACAGCAAGACCAGAAGGTACCTCAAGAACCGCCAAGTACAGAGTTTCTCCCTTAAAGAAATTTCTGGAAGGGCAGGCCCTCACCACAGAGGGGGCAGGGACAGGAACGGGCAACCGCCTGCCTGGTATGTCTTTGCCAGTGACTTTTGAGGCACTAACCAGTCAAAGCTGCACAGACTGCTTCTGGCAATCAATTAAATTCATTAAGCCTTGGTTTCTTCATGTCTGAAACAGGGATAATAATAGAACCTGCCTTGGGGGGCAGGGCTGGGGGAAGGCCCAGGATTCCATGGAATCACCCTGGAAGCATTTAACTTAACACAGAGCCTTGTCATGAGCTGAGGGCTTTGATTCACTCTTGAGTCCAGAATTATTGACTGAGTGCCTATTGTATACTATCTGTCCTTGGGGACATGCATGACCAAATAAAAAGGATGAACATAATAAATAAGCAAAGGAATTCATGGGTGCCCAGGTGACATGTGCTGTGGCAGAAAAAAAAAGGGAGGGGGGGAAGGAAACCCTGTCAGAGGGATCAAAGCAATTTCATAAGGTGATAGGGGCAGGTCCTATGGAGGAGGTGACTTTCACATTCATTCAATAAAATAAGTGTAATTTCAGTCTTATCTTAATTCACAGAAGACATTATCAATCCAGCTGGCTCTTCTACCTGATTCCCAGTCCTAACTGTTGGAAACAAGTGGCTTCAAAAGATGAATGTAAACAGGAAGAGAGAGTAGGGGTGTCTCAGAAAATACCCCTCTTTCACGATTCTAGCCCCCTCTGTTGGCCCGGCCCACCTCAGTGCTCACTGGCCTAGAAACCTGGCTGTCAGTGTCAGTGCCCCTGTAGCTCCTGTTCACCTGTGGGGTTTCTCTTGCCCATAAAGCAGAGAGTTAAGACGAGCTGAGCCTCATATCCCCTTTCATGCTGTGATGATTCTCCATTAAAGGAGCGTGAGAGGTGAGAGCCCAGGATTTATTAAGGGGAGGTTTTATTTATATTCTTTTTTCTTTCCTGCAAGTGCCACAGAAAGGTTTCCAGAAGGGAATTCTATGCCCAGGCCTCCCCCAACTTATTCCTCTTTGAGAACACATTTCCCTCTTCCTTTGAGTGTCAATCCTTCCAAAGCCTCTGTGCTCTACTCAGTTTGACTTCAGCTTGAGTGGTGAGAGGGAAGATTTATTTCCACAACTTTCTGCAG